TGACACAGCCTCCCTTGGAGCTCGTTAGAGCAGAACCCTGGAGGCAGTGAGGACAAGGAGACAAAGGCAATGTGAAGGTGGCACTGATGTGTAGGAAAACTGGATGTGTGTCACCAAGCACAAAGGCCAGGCCTGGACTCCCTACTCAAGGAAGGGAGATCCTTTCCCTGCACACCTTGCTCAGGGCTCTTCCTGGGACACTGGAAGATGGGGATTTGCATGGCCAAGTGCAGGAGAATGGTACGACCCCTGCCTGGTTCATGGGTGGGGGTGAGGAGGCAATGAGGCCCTGGTGCTTTAACGATCAGCTGTCTCCTCAAAGGCCTCAGTGACAGAGAAAACAGCCATAGCCATGGACACAAAGACCTGGGTCCTGTTGGGACTTTCAACTTTTCCACAGACCCCTATTCTTTCTAAACCTGGCTCTTAAAAAGACTCCCATAACTGCACATTGTTCACTGCTGGCTGCAGACCCTTGTCCGCGTGGTGTCACAGCAGATCTGAGATGAGTCTGATAACTCAGATCTTCTTGGTGGCCATGCTCCTCGTAAGGCAGCTCTGTAGGAAGCTGGCCTGGTTCCTCGTGAGGAGGCACCACTGCTCGTATGGCATCCCTCGTGGTGCCCAGGGCCTCCTCCTCCTGGCCACTACTCACTCAGCAGGGTCCCAGTCTGCCCTGATGGGTGGGGTTCCTCTTCTTCTGGTGCAGTACTGGGCTCTTCTCCATGTGAAAGTCAAGAGTTTTCTGAAGTCACAATCCTGCAGATTCTCAAGGTTCACCCACAGTGATGCTCCATTCTATCAGCTGTTAATGTCAGCAGGCAGACAGTTCAACCTTCCTGTGATTGTGTTATCTCTGACCAGACAGCAGCAGCAGCAAGAGTTGCAGGGAAATTTGGATAATTCAGGAGTAACCAGCTAAATGGAATTGCAGCACAGTCACTCAAGGGCAGGGGAAGGAAGGCTGCCAGGTTCCACATTCGCTGAGCTTTCTTCTCATGCATGCTGTCAGTTTGTCTGGAGCTGTGTCCTGAATTTTATGGGGCTGTGCAGGTCAAAATTAGAAGGGCCAAAGCCCAGCTGGACCTCAATCCATCTATTACTGTCAAAGATAATTAAAAAAAAATAAATAAAAAAATAAAAAATAAAAAATAAAATAAAATAAAATAAAATAAAATAAAATAAAATAAAATAAAATAAAATAAAAATTAAATAAAATAAAAATGACATTAATAGTTTAAATGAAGGAGGATTAGGGAGAATCATAATCATTTATTGGATTTTGGGGGGAAAACCCAGTGACAAGGGATGCTGTAAAGGCTGAGACACTTAATGCCTTCTTTGCCTCTGTTACTAGCAACAAAACCAGTTGTTCCCCTGGATGTTTCTTCCTCCTCATGGCCAGTGCCATCCTTCCATTGCACAATTTGTGGCAGTTTTTTCTCTCCTGCTCTTTCCTACTAACAAAGGAAGCTCCCTCAGGGTGGAAACCACTCCTGAAGTAGGCATCCCAACCCAGCAGGCTCCTTGTGGCCTCTCAGCCAACCAGACACAAGTCACCTCAGCAGCATCTTCCAAGCCAGGGGCCTGCTGCTGGCCTTGCAGCTTCTTGGCTAGACACAGCCAAGCCTTGTGCCTCCTGCTGTGCAGTCATGGACTCAAGCAGAAGGGACAGGACAACCCATCTGGGGGCCTTCTTTGTGTCTGGGTCCTCCTGGCTCTGGAGGCAGAGGGGATCCCCCAGTCAGCATGCCAAGCAGGTGCCTTCTGCTGGCCTAGCAGGGCCACTGCCAGATGTTAGCCCAAAAGTGCAGATCCCAGGTCTATGTCAAGGGTGACCTGCCACCTCCAGACACAAATGACCTCCCAGTCCCTTTCTGTGACACGTTCCTGCTGCTGCCCTATCAAGTGCAGAGACAGAAGTGACCTCACAGTCACTGTCACAGTCACATACCTGCTGCTGGGACAGGAGATCCTGAGGCAGAGCTGAGCTTTCTCTAGCCCCCTCAGTATCTCTTTTTCACTTTCTGGGTTAGAGATTAATCAAAGTTTTAGTGGGATTGTTTGGTGTTCTGCTTGTGCTGTCACGTCTGTGGTTGAGGTATGGAGAAGCTCTGTGGTTTATGGGTGTTTTACGTCTGCCAAGGAGTCTAGGGTTAAATAGAGCATGTTATTGTTAGTGTCAAGTGAAGGGATAACAGTTATTAATAGAGAAAATTTATTCCTTTCAGAGTGTTGTAGTAGCATTAAGGTTTAGGGATTAAAATTACTGGTTCAAATAATTAAGGGCCATATGTGACTGTTTTAAGTCAGTGTTACCGCAGTATTAGCATTGCAGGAATCCTCTTGTCTCTATGAAATCATTAATTTCTGCTGGCCATGCTGTTCTTCCCACCCCATAATCTCACATGTCTCTTGTCCAGGCTGCTCTTGACCTCCCCGTATCTTGTTGGGATCAGCTTTCTGACGACATTCATGATCGCAGAGTATCTGTCTCACCTCTGTTGCCTCCTCCATTCCTGAGAAGGAAGTAGCATTGTAGTCAGGAGGGAAAAGGACACAAAGGTCTTTAGGAGAATCCTGTACAATGTGTCCATCAGCTCTGCACCTCCACAAAATCACACTTCCTACCTACAGGATTTGTTTCCCAAGTGGCTTCTGTGGATCCAGGGTTACTTTTCCCAGGCCCTCTCACAAGTTTGAGTTTCAGATGTGGAGGCATATGATAAGGAAAGCCAAGGCATGAATGGAACCGAGCTTAGCAGGGGATGAAAACAATAACAGGACGAGATTCTGTAGATACATTGCTCAGAAAAGAAAGGCCAAGGAGAGAGTGCCCTCTTCTGATGGATGAGAAGGGTGAACTGGTAATGACAGACATGCAGAAGGCTGAGGGACTCAACAACATCTTTGCCTCAGTCTTCCCTGCCAGTCAGGCTTACTAAGTCTTTCATTCCCTGAACTCATAGATGGAGGCTGGGTGTGCAAATTCTCACTTGCTGTAAGTGAAGAGTAGGTTTGAGACCACCTGAAGAAACTCAACAAGTACAAGTCTATTGGGCCTGATGACTTGCATTCCAGGTTCCTCAGGGAACTGGCTGATGTAGTTTCCAAGCCTCTCTCTGTCATATTTGAACAGTCCTGTCAGTCGGGTAAAGTCACTGGATACAGGAAAAATGAAACATCACTCCCATTTTTAAAAAGGGTAGAAATGAGAACCCATGGAACTACCGAATGATGAGCCTCACCTCTGTGCCTCAAAAGATCATGGAAAAGATCCTCCTGGAATCAATGTCAAGGCACATGCAAGACAAAGAGGTGATCTCAGACAGCCAGCATGGCTTCTCCAAAGGGTAAATCATGCCTGACCAATGTGATGGCTTTCTACAGTGGAGTGATCACATCAGACAACAAGAGAAGACCGACCTATGTCATCTACTTGGACTTCTGTAAGACCATTGACACTGTCCCACATGACATCCTTGTCTCCAAACTGGAGAGATATGCATTTGATGGGTGAACCATTCAGTGGATACGGAGTTGGCCTGAAGATCACACCCAGAGCGTTGTGCTCAACGACTCTATGTCCAAGTGGAGGCTGGTGACAAGTGTTGTACCTCAGGGGTCTGTCCTGGGACTGGTGTTGTTTAATATCTTTATGACAGACAGTGAGATCAACAGTGAGACAGTGAGACAGTACATTCTGTACTTGTAGCCCAGAAGGCCAACTGCATCCTGGGCTCCATAAGCAGAGGAGTGGCCAGCAGGTGGAGGGAGGTGACTTCTACTTCTACTCCTTCTACTCTGCCCTTGTGAGGCCCCACTTGGAGTGTTGCATCCAGGACTGGTGCCCCCAGGACGAGAAGGTTGTGGGTCTGTTAGAACGGGTCCAGAGGAGGGCCACAAAGATGATCAAGGGGCTGGAAAACCTCTCCTATGAAAAAAGTCTGAGAGAGCTGGGGCTGTTCAGCCTGGAGAAGAAAAGGTTCCAGGGTGACCTCATCGCAGCCTTTCAGTACTTAAAGGGGGCTTATAAAAAAGATGGAGAGTGACTCTTTGCTCAGTCAGATAATGAGAAGGCAAAGGGGAATGGTTTTAAGCTAAATGAGGGGAGATTTAGATTAGAAGTTAGGAGGAAATTCTTCACTCAGAAGGAGGTGAGGCACTGGAACAAGTTGCCCAGAGAAGCTGTGGATGCCCCATCCCTGGAGCTGATCAAAAGCAGATTAGCTGAGGCCATGGGCCACCTGATCTCATGGAGGGCATCCCTGTCCATGGCCAGAGACATAGAACCAGATGACCTTTAAAGTCCCTTCCAACGGGAGCCATTCTCTGATTCTATGGTCTCACTAGCTCTACCTCAAACATGACTCCCATCCCATCAGCCTTCCTGTGGTCTTTCACATGACCAGAACAGAAGGTGCCTCACCATCATCTTCAATGCCATGTGCATACTTCTGCTCTTTACGGTTCCTATCTGTGCCACACTCCTCCTGCAGGTCCATCAACTCCAGAGACAGAAGTGACCTCCCAGCCTCATTCACAGCCATGTGCCTCCTGCAGGCCCAGCACATCCTGAGGCACACCTGATCCCATCCCAGCATTCCCAGGCAGCTCCTCCTTGTGGCCTCTGATCTGATCACATACCTGTCACCTCACATGCCTCTTCCAATGCCATGGGACTGCTGCAGGACCTCACAGTCCCTGCCCTACCCCAAGCATAAAATCCACTGAAGGTAGGGGTAGGAGTGGGGTTGAAGCTGAGATGTGCTGTGTGCACGCTGGAGGGTTTTGGGAATTCGGTGTTCAGCTTAACATTTAGGGATTAGAGGTCACCTTCTAGGGTTAAGGGAATGGCAGGGCATTGAGGGAAGGATTGGTGTTCTTCTCAAGATGCCTGCTCAATTTATAGGGGAAGATCAAGCTCTGGAGATTGTAGATTTGTTTACTTCTTGACTGGGGGCTAGGGTTAAGGCTGGCATTTTAATCCTTGGTTAGGCTTAATCATCTTTTTGCTCAGCCTTCTCGTAGAAGATGGGTTTGACATCTGCCTTTTCTAAGTCCTGAGGAATGACTTTGATGTATTTGTCCTTTCCAAGGTCTTTGAGATAGGTTTTATGACGATGTCAGCAGCTGCACCAGCACCTCTCTCACCCTTTTGAAACCAACTCTAAGCAACCTGAGGACTGACCAGGGGGATGATGAAATTTTGGGAAAGGGTTTGGTTAAAATCTCTGAGGAGAGCCTTTATGAGCTTCACATGGTCAATGATGGCAGTGTCATACATAATCATAGAAACATAGGATCATAGAGTCATAGAATGGTTTGGCTTGGAGGGGACCTAAAGATCGTCTTGTTTCACGCCCCCTGCCTTGGGAAGGGACACTTCACACTAGACCGGGTTCCTCAAAACTCATTCCAACCTGTCCTTGAACACTTCCAGGGATGGGACATTCACAGCTTTTCCAGGCAACCTGTTCCATTGCCTCATCATCCTCAGAGGGAAGAATTTCTTCCATATATTTAATTTAAACCTACCCTCTTCTAGTTTAATATCATTTCTCCTTGTCCCATCACTACACCCCCAAAGACTGTCTCCCCAGCTTTCCTGTAGGTCCTTTCTAAGCACTGGAAGGTTGCTCTAAGGTTTCTCCGGTGCTGAGTAGTGCCAGTTCTCTCAGTGTGCCTTCATAGCAGAAGTGCTCCAGCCCCTTGATTGCCTTTGTGGCTCTCCTCTGGACCTCTTCAAATAATTCCAGGTACTCGAACTGCTGCGTTAAACCACAGAAGTTTTTTTGGCACATGGTGTGGAGCACAAAGTGTTGAGATAAGGACAGATCTTACCACAGAGTGCTAAAGTTAAATTGTTATAAGCATTAGACCAGTTTAATAGTTGCTGATCACAAGGTTGACGGTTTGGATCTCAGGTCTGTTGGGCTTTCATTCAGAAATGTGTTGTATAGCACATTACTTGCTGCCTGTGTTCCTGTTGTGCTGTTTATCATTTCTGGGGCTGGTTTAAAGTTATTTTGCTATGTTGTGTAGCACTGGCTTATGAGTCTATAAAATTATTGGTCATGTGACAAATCTGTTCTTTGTACTGAGCATTGCCATTACCTCCATACCTCAGGACTCATCACTCAGAAACTTAAGAATTACACTCTTGACCTTTTTGTTTTAGGGAGCCAATCTAGGAGAGGAAAAGATATGTACACTTCTCCACTTCTTCACCTCCCCCTTCTCCTCCAGGCTAATTACACTAGCTCTAAAAAGCTTAGAATATCCATGGATGGTCCTACTGTGATGTCTCCTGAATGTGTTTCAACTGTTGTTTAAGGATAAACAACTCTTGAAGAATGCCCTCCAGAGACCTGCCCCAAGGCCGGAGAGTGAGGAGTGGCAGGGAACATGGGAGGATCTGGGCAGGCACCTAGAGCAGTGGGCACAGTGCTTTGGAACTTCCCTTCTGAGCATGTGCAGAATCCTTAAAAACTGCAGAAGTGCTTGAAAAGGAGGGGTTATCACCTTGGCAATTCCAAAGGGAATTCCAAAGGGAGCCTCAGTCAGTGTCACTCCAACCCCTGTGATGGGCCCTGAAGCTACTCCAACACCTCTGACATGTCCCGCAGCCACTCCAGACCCTGGGACAAGCCCCAGACTAGACCAGACCCCCCAGGTCTGCTCTTGCTAGGCCAGAGCACCAACCTGTGCCAGGATTCGTTCCCTCTATATGCAGGAGAAAACAGAGGGTGTGAAAATCAGGCCCCTGAGAATGGAAGAGAACTACTGCCCAGAAAAGAAAGGAGGGAGAAGAATGTTGATCTATGAAACCTTGACATAAACTTCCCCATGAGAGGGTACTTCCAAGATCCCAAAGGGTACAGCTGGGGTTTTGGGATAGCTGCCTTCAAGAGAGAGGATGTTAAAGAGCTGTCTACCTTTCCCAGTCCCTGGGAGGACCCTTCCATTTGTGGACTTGTTGAAGGTCAAAGAAGACCAGGTGCAGATGGTTACCGCAATGTTCTACCAGTTGGGGACAGGCTGGACACCAGTCAGTAATGAGCAATTGCACTGTGCATAGCTTGCTTTGTACATAACAATAATAGTACTAAAAATAATTGCTATTATAATTCTTTCTCTACCATTTCAGTCCTTTCAACTGCGCTGACCTCAACCTATAAGAATGTGGGGGGGTTGGTGTGAGCTAACAGCTGTGTGGTGCTGAGCTGCCTGCCAGGTTAAAGCACATCATGTTTGACAACCACAGTCCAACAGCGCAAATCACACTTCTAAAAATCTTGGGTTCAGAGAGGAGCAGTAGATGATCAGTTCAGTCTGCCTCAATGAGCACACCCCAGCAGAGACCCTGCTGCCTTGGGGAGCTGTCAGCCCTGAGGCCTTGGGGACACCTTGAGGGAGCCCAAGGGCACAGAGCAAGCGATGCCATGGTCAGGTGCTGTGCTGCTGAGCTGGGCCGCGCTCCTGGGCCCAAGGGGAGCTCGTGGCAAGAAGGCCCTGGTGCAGAGAGACAGCTGTGCCCGGGAGCAGCTCCTCTGCACAGCGCAGCAGGGCTGGGGGCTCTGACAGCAGCTGGCACGCAGAGAGGAGAGAAGGAGAGAGGGCTTGGAGGCACTGAGGAGCGCAACAACGGAGGGCAGCGTGTGGCAGGACACATCTGCAGGCTCTTGGCACCGTGAGGCTCTGGCAGCAGGGCCATGCAGGTGGGGTTGCCAGAGGGGTCTTCTACAGCTGGCACATCTGATGGCTGATAGCATCTGTCAGGGTTGGTCTCTCAAAGCACTTGGTAAAGCAACTTGCAGTTGTTTTCTGCAGTGCTTTAGATAACGGCATTATGAGGGGCAATTGAGGAGGAAGATCGAGGCTTGGCTTATGTGAAGGGGAAGACTTTTTCTGCAGTCTGTGCTTGCAGACTGCTGCAGTGGACAGGAGGCAGGCTTCATTTTCAGGATTGTACAGGAGACTGAGACTGCTGGAGCATTGCATTGAGAAATCAGTAACTCAGTGATCAAATTTGTTAAGTACTTTCCCAAACATCATCTGATGGACTGCACCAGCATCATCATAATGTGGTCCTCTCAGGTTTTATCCTAGCTGATCTTTACGAGCTGTAAGCTCCCCGATGCCCAGTGCTGGGAAACATCCCTGTCTTTCGGAGGTTTCTGCTGGCTTGAAGTGAGCACAGATCATTTGCAATGAGCAGGAGCTGCCTCCTCTGCAGGCAGAGGTGCAGCACAGGAGGGTCTGCTGAGTGTCCGTCTGTCCCTCCCTGGCCTTGCCTCCCCTGGCAGCAACACGCTGGCATTCCTCCTGGCTTCTCCAGCTGGCCGTGCTGCTGCTGGTCTTGTTCCCAGGCTGGCTGGGGATAGGGCTTTCACATGCCCATGGAGTTAGCCCTCAGTGTGCTTGAGGGAAGGGGAGTATGGGGACATGGTGATGGGACTGGAGATGGGCACTTTGAGCCTGGATTCCTCTGCTCTCAGCAGGGTCTTTGTTCTTTTCAGTCAAACATGTGTAGATCTTCCCTGCAGCTCTCACAGGGCATCCGAGACCGTACTTGATGGACAGACTGTCTGTCCTCCCTGAAGAACACTGTGCGCTAAAGTGTTGGTGAACTGGGAGCAACGCTGGGGAAAAACTCTTTGAGATCAGGAGGGAAGTGAAACTGACATTTCCACATGTTCCTCTTCACCTCTTGCTGTAGGACAGGACTGACTTCTGCACTGCCCACAGTAGACCCCCCTGTTCCAACAGAAACCCTCAGGCAGAATGAATTAGGAAGCATGAAAGGGATCTGCCAAATGTCTGCCAGAAAGTGCACAATATAAGTGATGATTTTAAATGAGAAATTGAATTCATTTTCCTCTGATATGTTTCTTGTACTTTGTTACTCTCATCCTCTTCCTTGTTCAGGATCACATCCCCAGAAAAGCAGATGTCCAACAGAAGCACCATCACTGAGTTCCTCCTGCTGGCATTCGCAGACACGCGCGAGCTGCAGCTCCTGCACTTCGCGCTCTTCCTGGGCATCTACCTGGCTGCCCTCCTGGGCAACGGCCTCATCCTCACCGCCGTAGCCTGCGACCACCGCCTCCACACCCCCATGTACTTCTTCCTCCTCAACCTTGCTCTCCTTGATGTGGGATCCATCTCCAACACCGTCCCCAAAGCCATGGCCAATGCCCTCTGGGACACCAGGGCCATCTCCTATCAAGGCTGTGCTGCTCAGGTCTTCTTTTTATTCTTCTTGTTTGGTTCAGAGTATTCCCTTCTCACTGTCATGGCCTACGACCGCTACGTTGCCATCTGCAAGCCCCTGCACTACGAGAGCCTCCTGGGCAGCAGAGCTTGTGCCCAGATGGCAGCAGCTGCCTGGGGCAGTGGCTTTCTCTATAGTATCCTGCACACGGCCACTACATTTTCCCTGCCTCTCTGCCAAGGCAATGCTGTGGACCAGTTCTTCTGTGAGATCCCCCACATCCTCAAGCTCTCCTGCTCAGATTCTTATCTCAGGGAAGGTCAGCTTCTCATCTTTAGTGCCTTCTTAACCATTGGATGTTTTGTTTTCATTGTGCTGTCCTATATTCAGATCTTCAGGGCAGTGCTGAGGATGCCCTCTTCTCATGGCCGACACAAAGCCTTTTCCACGTGCCTCCCTCACCTGGCCGTGGTCTCCTTGATGATCAGTACTGGCATGTGTTCCTACCTGAAGTCCCCCTCCATCTCCTTCCCATCCTTGGACATTGTAATAGCAGTTCTGTACTCGGTGGTGCCTCCAGCACTGAACCCCCTCATCTACAGCATGAGAAACCAGGAGCTCAAGGATGCAGTGAGGAAACTTCTTCAATACATGCTTCTTAAGCACCCATGATGTATGTTCAGAGGATGTATAATTACTAATATTATGTTCCATATTGTGATTCATACTATATCACATTATTTTTATCGGAAGTAGTGTTATCATAACATAATCAATATCAGTAGTCCTAACTGAAATAAAAGGGTATTTGGGAAATTAATAGCACAATTTTTAAAATTATTGTTCTCTGTTAGTATCTTAACAATATTTTATTTTGTTTTAAA